CATAATGACTTTGTGGGCACATGTTATATGTAACGAATATAAATTTTCCTTGGACAAAAATCTTAGGTTAGGCCACACTCAGTAGAGTTCTCACCTATGAAAAAGTATGATTTCTATCTAGGATCTTTTCTCTAAAAGGTTAGGATGGTCTGTTAGAGATGGGTTATCTATTAGATTTTGGAGAGATAATTGGATACCCCATATCCACAAATTAACTTTGTATGCTTTGCACCCTATCCATGAGGAGGACCTTGATTTTCCCGTTATTCTTTATTCTGATTAGGGTGCTTGGGATAGGGATAAAATTAAGAAAATCCTCCCAAACCTCATCTATGATGCTATTTTTCAATTTGACTCCCCCTAATAGTTCTAAGGGCCAAGATTTTACCTTTTGGAAACAGTCAAATAATGGATTGTTTTCTATTAAAACTGTTTATCCAATGTTAATATCTTCTTATCATATACATGAACCTAGTGACAGAATCTTTAAAATAATTTGAAAATGGGTTGGCCCCCTAAAATTGATTTGTTGCTCTAAAAATTGGCTCATAACAGGCTGTTAACTAATGACGAAAGCTTTTCTAGAGGCATTGCTTCCTCTGTCGTATGTCCTAGATGTAATGAAGCACCTAAATTAATTATGCATGTTCTTTGTTATTGCTGGTTTGCTCAATAGATTTGGAATTATTTCAGTAGTGGTCTCTCTAATTGGTTGTTTTATAATTTATCCAAACACAATCACCATCTTATTCCTGATTGGAACATATTATTTGGTATTATTGTTTGACATATTTGAAATATTTGGAAGGATAAGAATGTTGTTGTCTTTCAAATTTATGGTGTTTCTGCTAAGTCTAGAGTTCATAAAATTATGTGTGAATTTGATTATATGAAAATGTGTTACAAGGATTATCAAATTTCTAATTCTAGCAGCTTTAAGGAGTAGTGTATGATTAGATGGTGCCCCCTTTCTAGACAAATGAAGCTCAATGTTGATGGTGTTGATCATTACCTTAGAAGTGCTGGTTGTAGCGGATTGATTCATGATAGCTATGACAAAGTCCACTCTAGTTTTTATAGTAGCCTTCCTCCTTGTTCTCCCCTTGGAGTTGAGCTTTGGGGAATTTTGTTATGGATACAGCTTGTAATCCAAGCAAAACATCCGCCTTATTTGGATTGAAACTAATTCTAAGGAGGCTTTATCTTTAGTTTTAAATTCTCAATGTTGTAATCATCCCTTATTTTATCTGATTAAGAACATTAGGAACTTGTTGAAATGTATTTCTTTTCTTTGATGTAGTCACATTCTGAGAGAAGTTAATCAATGTGTTGATAGGCTGGCTAAAATAGGTATAGAGGAGAGGGTCCACTTTTACTTTTTTAATAAAGTTCCTCCTTCCATTTGTCCATTCATAAGTTTAGATTCTTTAGGAATCTCAACTCCTAAACCATCTATAGGTTTTCCTATTTTTTAGGTTGTTTAGTCCCTTTGATTAGCAAAAAAATTTAAAAAAAAGATATTGGCAAATTGATGTTTTCATCCTCTAACTTTAAAATAAATTTTGATTTTGTTCTTTAACTTTTTTTTTTTGTTCACTTTAGTTCTTTAACTTTTACAAAAGTTTTAAATAAGTTTTTTTTTCAGTTAAAAATATTAATATTTTTTATCTTTTTCTAGCACGTGTACTATTTTGCACTGTTCATCATGATTTTTTCCTCAAATCTTCAATTTTGCTTTTCTTCTCTAGTTTGTGCAATGTTCCATAAATGTTATGTAGGATCATTTCATGCATTTGCATCATGCCACTATCACGTTCATGGCACCTCATTGGTGTAGGCATCTTGTTCAATTTGTGGAAGAAAAATGAATAACTAAAGAGCCCTTCATCTACCTATTGAAAAATCAAAGCATGAAGTCATTCCTTCTTGGAAATAAATTCACACTTCACATAAAAAGCATTAAGGAGTAAAGATTCGTATATAAAAAACCATGAAAATGAGAACGACAATTTTGTGCTTAGACGATGCAAGTGATAGTGTCATGATACAAATGTAGAAAATGACCTCATATATCATTTATGGAACATTGCATGAACCTGAGAAGAAAACCAAAATCGGATATTTAAGGGGAAAAAAACAACAATGAACATTGCAAAAACTTGAGGTTGAAGACAATGAATAGTACAAAATAGTATATGTGGTAGAAAAAAAATAAAATATTAATGGAGTTAATGTTTTTAATAGAAAATTCCCTATTTGAAACTTTTGTAAATGTTAGAAAACTAAAATGAAAAAAAATTAGAAAATGAAATTAAAATATACTTTAAAGTTAAAGGAAGAAAATACTAATTTGCCAAAAATATATCTGATGGTTTAAACTTATTAACCCACTAATATACCACTTAATTACTTACTTGTTTTAACTTGAGCTTAAAAAATAATTAAAAAAATAGTTAAAATAACTAAAATAATACATACTTATTTGGTATATTATATGACTCATAAGTAAAATAGCAAGATGACCTAATATAACATGTTTTAAAAGTTATAATATTTATCTTTTAATCCTTAATAAATTTTATAAATTAAGATATTAAAATATTAGATATTTAAAACAAGTCTTTTAAAGTATTTTTTTTGGAAAATATATTTTAAAAACATAATTGTAATAGTTTCAAAGGTGCTTTTCTTTTTCATTCACATTAAATTTAATTATATTCTTTCAAACTCACTTCCTTTCACCTTGTTTCTAAAGTTAGTTTAAACATTTCTTCTGTATTTCTAATAGTTAGTTCAATAGATTTTATGACTTTAAATTTAAGGTCAAAAGTTTAAAAGGGATATTCAAGGTAATAAATTGAATGGAATTAGATAATCCTGTTTAAAATAGTGTTATAGAAACTTTGTTCATTTTCTCTTTATCCTACGTCAGTTCCTCCTTATTTCCACCTTATTGCATGCAAACTTGTTTTCTAAATATAAGTACCTAATATTGTAAATTGTAATATTTACGAGTGAAATCAATTAAATATAAAAATATTGTATACCCATTTCAATTCTCTTAGCAACAAACAATTTGGCTAAATCGAAATATAAGTATTGGCTAAAGATGTAATACTCTAAAATTTTTATTATTTTATTTATTGCATTTATTTTAAATTTTTTTATTATTGCAATTTATTTTCAAAATGAAAGAGTTCTTATTTTTGAAAGTGCAACATTTCTCGCTCAAGTGAGATTAATTGACTTAGAAGGGGTGTCTCTAGAGCATTATCGCTCAAGCAAGATAAATTCTCGCTCAAGTGAGAATGGATAAGAACACCCCAATTGTCCTCTCACTTTGGCGAGAAATCCTTCGCTCAAGCAAGAAGAGGCAACAAAATCTAAGCTTCAAGTCGTGCTAAGAGGAGTCTATCTTGCTCTAGCGAGATTATCAACAAAGGTGTAAAAAATTTTAGTTTTGTTGTTTCACTCAAGCGAGAATACGCTTACTCAAACGAGAGAAGCAGCGACCAAAAATGGTATATTAGTAACTCCAATGTTTTAAAACTTGGATTATAAGTCAAGCAACCATTTTCATATCACCCTCTATTCTCTCACTTTCTTTTCACAACTAAATTCCTGAGAACTCCAAACCTCTCTCAAATTCTCTCACTTCCTTTAAATTTAACTATTACAATTACACGCTACTTTAAATTGCTCGAAGTGATATGTAGTTAAGTTATTTAGTTCATGTCTATTTTTTTCATTTAAATGTCAAATTAAAGTTATGTCTGAAAACTAATATACTAAAAGAATTATCCTATATAATCAATTTAAACATAAATATTTTTTAAGAACAATATTTATAAAGATAAAGTAATGTATAAAATGTTGTAAATAGCCTTAATTATACTAAATTATTTTAGGAAGTGAAGAGTTTCTATACACTTCAATTATGAACCAATGGATTAATAAAACGTTTTAACGTAGTCGTCTTGTATGATTATTAACTATTAACTATATAATCACATGCATTTCTATTAATAACAACTGGAACTCACAAATTTGTCTTGAACGACTTTATATTGTCAAGATCTAAGGATAGTGTTTAGCATATTATTTGACTTGCAAAACTTGAAAAGAGCATTGTAAGTTGTAACTTTTGTTTTGATTCATTCCTCAATATAGTATGAACAAGTTAGGTACAACAATGCATGGTTGGCATGGCGATGATACGATTGGGTCGCAACGAATGCATGATTGCTATAACAAATCTAGCAATGCTCAAAGTTAATTTATCTATACAACGCGATGTCAACAGACACAAATTAAAGACCAGACATCTGCGTTATTGTCAATGATTAAGCACGTTTGAAACAAAACCAATGTTGATCATGCGCGCATTTTTTATGCAAACGCTACTATGAGTAGTGTTAAAGAGATGCACGTTTAACCTTTTCAAGAGCAAAATCAAACTCACGGCAATAAACAATAACCATTTTTTCTAATTAGCAGATCCATTGTTACTTCATATCAACTGTTACTGGCCAAATCATTCCCAATTATAACCTGTGTTAATTGATTACAGGCCGTTAAACATCAGTATATCGCCAGCAAGCCTCTTTTAAACTTTAGCTAAACACATAAGATATTTAACTGCTTAAACTTTTGCTGATTCAAGAGGAGGCTAAAGGTGGCTGATGAAAGTAATTTCCGATTTCATGGCTGGGTAGATCAAGAGGGTACCTAAACCCTTTCATTTATAAGGATACTGGAGCAATGCCCATTATTTTAAGATTATTTAACCTATGAATTGATTACCAACACGAGTATGCACCCCTGCCCTCCCACATTAATTGTAAAATTTTCTCTATAAAGGGGCGTATAGTTATTAGTATTAGGTTTTTGCTTGTGACATTTAAATTTAAATTAATAGCTAGAGCAGAAAGGTCAAGCCAGAAGGGTTAGGAAGATGCGCACCACCTGTCGTTCGCTTCTCACCAATTAAATTAGATTACATGACTGAAAGCATAGCCGGATTCAAAATTTATAGGTTGGGTGCCAAAAACAAATGTCAACGACTTTGTGATAAAAAGGTGGGATTTCATCAAGGAAACACGAGAGAAAGCAACAATGAGATTACAGCTCTAAATTAGCTCGAAATTGTATCAAACAACTCGGATGAATGGCTCTGCTAGCTTTAAGATAACTGATAACTATCCCGTACTATCAAAAAAATATATAATATCATTCCCTTGACAAAGAGTAATGCAACATTATCCATTTATATGTCTGCAGCAAGAAAGTTACCAGATAGTGCTACCTGCATAAAAATAACGTTGACTTATGCAATTAATTCTACTGGCCATACGCCCATACCAAAGAAATAACACCAAACAGTTCAAGAGAGGAAGAGAGAGAGAAAGTACCTTCTCGCCTAATCTGAAGGGAGGCAATCCCTTGTAAGGGCAGGTATTGCACCTGAAAGCGTCCCCTAGCCCACACTGCGGACCAAACACAACTTTGAGAGCCATGCCAATTGGAAGAGGGGGGAGGGGGGTGTCTGAACAGTTTTAAAGAGGATAGATTGATACAACAGAGGTAGCTATTCACAAAGAGCTATTCACAAGAGAATTGTATATTCTTATTATACTAGTCATGCTGACCATAATTCAAACCAATCTTAGAAATTCTTGTTCCATCAAATGTCGGAATGCTGATTAAAGTTAATGTTCAATACAGCTTTTGCGATATAAATAAATACTGTAATATGAAGAAACTATGCTTTTTGAAGTGCAAGATACGAACATGATGCAAGTGGGTTTATAACCCAAACAGAAGTCCTTGCCCATTTGGTGAGGTTGGTTACATGTATTTATAAAACTCATTCAAAAAATCACAAACAGAGCCAAGCTTCCATAGCTAAATTAAAAGAAATGACTGTTGTAGGACATCAGCATTACAACCATTTCTTCCATCCATTATCCTCTAAAAAATCCATATTAAAAGCTATAAGCAACAAAAAACTTGAAGAGTCTGCGATGCAGCACTACACTAGCTCTTTCATTTCATGAAACTAATTTACCTGACATTAACTGAGGGAGGGGGTGTTTCAACCCTCTAATGCATCTATAAATCAACCGAACTAAACAAAAAAACTATCTAACCAGACAATTGTAAAGCTATAAAACAACTTAGAACTTTCTATCAGAAATCTGCAGAAAGCAAAAATGAATTGTAATTGAACACAGCCTTAGAAAGCATACTGCACAAGAGAAAAAAAAGCATACATTGCCACAAGCTGATTGAGGATTATTAATCTGTTCTGCAGTCAATCCTAATTTGAAGACTTTTTCCTCTTCTTGAGCCCTCCCACAGGTGCAATTTTTGCAGGCCTTTCTTGTACTCCCAATTTCACAATCACCTAGTGCAGAAATATGTTAGCTAAGAGCCTAATATAGTAACATCACACAGAATACTAGTAGAGGACAGAAACTAAAAAAGTAATCCTTACCAGGTGGCAGCTGAGGTTTCTTTAAATCTTCTTCAGTCAAAAGACTATCTTCATCAATTAGATCCAAATCAACATCAACTTGCACTTTAGGTGAACTCTTCACTACCTTCTTTATCGCAAACGATGAACCAATTTTCCATGAAGGCTTTTTAGCTTTGATCTATGTGCAATTCAAAGAATATTGATCATTAGAATTTGTAACATGGTCACAGCAGTTACTTAGGAAAGAAAGAAAGAAAAAAGAATCATGACTCATGGGCCATATTCCACTCATCAGGCATCAGGAAGACAAATTGTCCAGAAGGACAAAGGAGAAAAAATTATGATTAAAAGCCAAAAAAAAAATATATATGGCTGAAATTAGTGATCGTGCCATATATATGAAAAACCATTAACTTGACAATGATAATTGTCAGATACCAGTAGACTGGATTTCAAGACACATCAGCTACTATTTAACTTGTCCGACAAATTTCTATTGACAAACCAAACACAAGCAAAGAATACAAAATGATGAATAGATATGGCAGAGGCAGATACCAGCTAGTGAAACTTACCCCAGTCGATTGTAAAACTTGTGATTCTGAAAAGCCTGCCAACAATAACTTGTTCCCAAGATCAGATATTATCTGGAAGTACAACAGGAAAAATCAGATCATGTAGGACAATAAACATTCTCCCAAGCAAAATCAAGGTTGTTATTACCTTATCGACTGAACCCCCAGCAGACTGAGATGACTTGCGAATAAGAACTGTCCCACCAACTTTTAACACTCTAAGACTTTCTTGAATCAGTTGGTCCATGGGGCAATCAATTGACAGCCAGATTAAAATCACAAAATCAATAGAGGAAGATTCCACCGGCAACTTGCCTGAAATTTGCAATAATAGGCAATAAAAAATGGTTTCTTCAGCAACAATACAATAAAATATGATAATACACAAAATGGAAAACCAACCATTTACAAGGGAAATAGAAACTTCCATACAACTTCTTTAAGAAACAATAAGTATGGGTTACATATGTTCTAAGGAATTGGACAAAAGGCAGGCAGGACTGGCTATTATCAGTTTTCTCATAGTTCAGGCATTTCATTGTTATAACCAAAAACTGAACCAGTGATATGTAAAAGATCCAAACTTGAAGTTGATAAGATGAAAATTGAAATTGGTCCCCATTTACAATTACAGATCAACTAAACAAACAAATAAACAGCTGGGCAAGTGAGAAAGAGGAAGAAATGAAAATGCAAACATGATATACCTATTCACAAGTTATAGGGCCATAAGTTATACAAAATAATTCATGCTGAAGCAAAAAATATCAACTTACAGAAATATACATTCATCACGTAAAAACAATCCATATCAGCATGTAACCTCTCTTACCAAGATTCCCTAAGTTTCTGAGGTAAATGAAACATAAAAGTATAAGCAAAACTTGATCATTCCATGTTGAATAGAATTGTCATTGTATACCCTTCTCAGGAAAAGACTGACTTCTCATGGAAGATTCTATAAATGGTATGTAAAAAAATCTTTCATTAATAATCATAATCTGAACTAGAAAATTTCCTCAATAGATGAAGCATGTTTGTGCTGAGTTTTCTTACTTGAATGAACACTTAATACCCATCACAGACCAACCAATTCCAAGAATTAAAAATCAGAATCACAAGCTATCAAGCATAGTAGTCAATAGCGGCCACTATTGCAGACGTAAGGAGCGGAGCAGCAGGGTGCCGCTATCTCATCATTGTCTCGTTGCATTTCACTATAGCGGCTGTCGCACTGCAAATCACGGCCAAGTACAAAGCAACTCACAACTGCTATTTTATCCTAGATCCAATCCCTACTTTACCCTCCCTTTCTGAACATTGGGTGATATTTAAAGGGGACAATCTTGGGATTTCACCCCCTTTTTATATTTTTGATATTTTCTTCTCCCTTGCAACCTAGCCCTAAGCCCCTTTTACATTTCACCCTCCCATATTAGCTCTCTATTTTCTCTTGCTTCCAATGTCTTTCTTCATCTCCAGCGAAACTTCTGACACAACAGAGTCATTCTCTGGTCATCTTTTTCATCTCCGGCGAAAGCTTACACCATGACCTAGACGTTTTCCAGGTCATCTTCTTCAACTCCAACAAAGCTTCTAATGAGATCCCGACATTTTCCAGTATTCTTCATCTCTAGGAAACTTCCAACAAACCTAAACATTTTCAGATGATTGACCATTTTCTGTTTTCTATTTTCCTTCTCTATTTTTTATTTCCTTCTTTGTTTTGATTTTCCTGCTCTGTTTTGTTTCAAATTTCAATGCCTAAAATAGTTGTCATCTTACTATCCACTATCCCACTATAGTGTTTTTGGGGTCAGCCTATCCAGGATTGACTACTATGCTATCAAGCATGCTCATCCATTGCATGTTGGACATGAACTTCAAGAAACGGGAACTTGAGCTCCAATTTTTAAAACACCAATTCAAGCTATGTATTGTAGCCTAGCTTGTATATTAACTAGTAAAATGCATCTTTTGAACATTATGCAACATAATAGCTGAGCAACATGTGATGAGAATCAAAGAAAGTCCATTGAAAAAAAGGCTTAAAGGCATTAGAAGAGGTTCAAGAATCAATGACAAGGGTAAAGACAAAGAGAATAAAGAAAAACTAAGAGAAAATGATTGTTGTCCTATTTAAAAGTAATTCAATTTGGAGTTAGAAGAACCAAGATGATCAGTTACACATGCTTAGAGAATTTAGACTCCAATGCGTCTCATTAAGATTTAATTACTATATTTAGTTTATTTATTTATTTATTTTAATATTAGTCGTTACTTACTTTGAGCTTATATTTAGGATAAAAACATGTTGTTTTATTTAGTTTATTTGAATTTAGGCTTGTTAGCACAAGAAACTCATTAGGGTTGTGTTTGTTTTAGTTTATAAGCATTAGATATATATAAACTCTTATAAACACACTTTTAATTAATTTTGAATGCAATTTGAGATTACACACTCTTTTGGAGAGCGTGTGACTCTAAGTTATTGAGTCAATGTTCCTTGATCTTATCAAGAGGCCAAGACTCTTGTAGTGATCATTCTTTTTGACTTATCAATCTTGCGATTGTATCACTATTTTCTTCATTTTTATTCTATTTTTGCTTTTATTATTTTTCTTCTTGTCTCAATTCTTGTTCTTATCCTAATAATTTTATTTTTGTCGTTTGCAACTCAATTCAAGATCGTTTAATTTGGCAACACATATCGTGTTTATCATCAGCATGTAAGCAATAGCAAAATACAATTTATTGGTTTTTGGAACAAATTCATTAAATTTAAAATGTAAAGTAACCACCCCCAGAGACATATTGTATGTGCAAAACCAGCATAGATAATTAAAAACACATGCAGAAACATAAATGCAATCAAAGTAGTGTGAGAATTACTTAATAGTGATGCCGATGTAAGAACCAGAGGATCCCATTGTTCAACCCCTTCATTCCCAAGCTCTCTAATTGCATCAAACACTTGACTGACAGAAAGAACTGCTCCATCTGTACATGCCAGCACAGCATCATGCTTCTTTGCACCATCCTGCTATATTCAAAAACTATGTTTAAAATGCTGCTAGCTATGCATGAGAATGGTGTTCTTTCCCCAAAGAAACGAAGACAGAAAAAATTTTTAGCATGTGCATGAAAAGGTGAGAAAAGTTGAAAAACAGAAAAATTTGACATGTAATCGGAAAATAACAATTGCTATGATTTCAAGTATTCCAAAAACAACAGTAAACCGTCTCCAAAAGAAGACATAAACCAAATTTCATCCAAAACATAAATTATTATTTTTAAAAAATAGTTTCTCTAATATTTGCCCAAAGGCATACAGTAAGAACTTATATATAATAAGTTTTCATTGACAATCATATAATTCAATCCTTTGATAAAATCAAATTTTGTGATCCCCAATAAAAACTTACTATTTATTAATTTTTTAGTATGTACCCTTAGATACACGTTATGTAAACTGTAAAAAAGAGAGCATCATTTCAGTCTCATTCTAGCAACCACCATTCTTTTCATTTCACGGCATACTGTGGCTCCACATTGCCTCTACACACCCTAACACCACCTCCATCCCAGCCCAATGCAACTATCACACTCTCAACCAGCAATTACTAATGTTACCACTCTTCACAAAATCACCGTAATTTCAGGTTTCAACAATCACAGTAGCAGCCTTGCTATACTAAGGTCATTTTGTAGTTTCATTATGCATATAATCTCACTGATAATAAAGTAAAAATCACCCAAATTTCTTTAACTACATTTAGACGCAACAATAACGCAAACCTAAAACTAAAGCTTCCACTAATAGAAATCAGTGCTCTATTAGAGAGTATACGGAACGATAACTTAGCAAAAGGGACTTCACATTGACAAAACAGCGACGGGAACATTTACAGCAGCATTTTTTTTTCTGATTATCAAAACTTGAGATCGAAGGAGAAAGAGAGTGAAGGAAAAATGACATACGTCGAAGATCTTCGATTTAGTGAAGGAAGACGACGTCGTTTGGTGCGACATGTCTGCCAAACAGCGATGGAAGGAACGAGAGAGAAAAGGTCACGGAATCGAGGGACGCCGGAGAGGGTGACGCTCCGATTGGGGTTTTCAACTTTTTCTTTTCCCTTGGCGTTTAAAAAATGGTAAATTCTAGTGTTAACGAGGGAATATTCATACACTTATAACTGTTAATTTAATTTTAGGGACAGAGTTACTGATATGTTTAGAAAAGACGTAAATATCATTCAATATATTAATATAATCTAAAGAGAATATTTAATACACTCTTAAATTTTACAATACCATATTAAGTACTTTAAAAAATCTCATAAAGAAAAAGAAAGTTGCACTTATATTATTTAATTTAAACAAAAAAAATTATCAATTATTTTTAAGTAAACAATGAATTCATGGCATAAAATTACCTAACAAAATAAGTAATATTTTTAAAAATAAAGTAAATTAAAAATAGGTTCAATTTTTTCTTTGTATATTTATGAAATACTCATAAATGCTTTATTTTCAAATTAAAATAAAAAAATTAATATTATTTTTTAAGTAATATAATGTGCCCATTTAATTGATAATTATATTTTTTTCTCAATATAAGATAATAGCATTTTTTAAATTTTTATGTAAATAGCTTAATCAATCTTTGTATTACAATTAAAAGTATATTATTTAAAAAGTAAAAGATATTTTCTCTCACAGTTTGTAATATATATATATATATATATATATATATATATATATATTAAAATTAACTAAAATTTATATGTAAATTATATTACCTTTCATTATAATAGTATTACTTTTTATTTATATTTTTTAATTATGCTCTAAATTATAAAAAATTAAATTATTACTTAACTTTCTCTTTTTATATAGTATGAATTTTTAAAATGTTGTAAAAACTCATTGTTTCATTACAAGAAAAAAAAATATATCATTCAAAAATAGAAATGGGTTGAGTATCAGTATACTACTATAGTACTCATTTTCATACTCATATTTTAAAAAAATATTTATACCCAATTCTATACTCATATAAATAGTAATTTTAAACTTCATATCTTTATCTTTTGGGTACTCGCATATTAGTAAAAATACTCTTATAAAAAACTATGTTTTTATAACTTTATATAAATAATAAAATAATATAAAAATTAAATACATAGTTGTTGAACAAAGTCTAAACATAAAAAAAAATTTTAAATATTACAAATGTTAAGTGTATTTCAATACAACATCTCTTTTAAACTAAAATGACACATAACACATTTTTTTCTTTTAATTTTTGAATCTAAAATTCAAAAAAAATTTAATTAAAATAATATAATATCATATAATTAATAATATATATATATATATTTAATACGTGCATTGTACAAAAGTATTTTTGTCAAAAATAAATTTTTTAAAAAATAATTTAATAAATTAAATATTTATAATGTATATAAATTTTAAAAAAATAAATTTTGAATAAAAGATAAATGGTTATAATAAAATTTTGTAATGAAAAAGTTATACATATATACAAAAAAAAATTATACTTTTTTACCTCAAGAAAAAATTATTTAATAGGTAAATTATAATGAAAATATATAATCAAATTAGTAAAATAAAAAAAAGAGAATTAATAATATTTTTATATTTTACAATTTTTCAAAAATTTCTTTGAATATAAATAAATGATAAAAATAATATTATTTAGTTGTGATAACACACATGTTATATAGAAAAATATTATTTTAAATAAAAATTTAAATATTATAAATAAATAATAAACCTACTTAACAGTAGGTAATTATAAAATTTATAAAATATTTATAATATATTTATTATTTATTTTATAATTTAAATATTAATATAATTTATTTAAAAAATTGTGTGAAAAATATTTTGTACGTATCATATATAAATAATTTTTTTTTTAAAAAAGTCAATCTCATATAATCATGTAATAATTAAATTATATTAGCCTAATTAAACGATATAAAATAATAAATAAATTTTTATATTATAAATATAAAAAAAGTAATTTTTATCTCATACTTTAATAGTGAATATATTTTTATGTTAATCTTATAAAATAATTATTTATATATGATATAAATATTTATTTCTATTAAATAGATTTTTATATCTTTATATGTATTTTTTTTAGTAACATAAATATTTAAATTAAATTTTTCAACATCTCATTTTACATAGAAAAAAAATTGAAAATAAAGAATTATAAATTGAAAGATAATATTACTTAAAATAGAATATTTTTCTATTCATAATATAAAATAATTATGTCCTATAGAAAACATAAGATATTGAATCATATAAAATAAACAGTAAAATCTTTATCTTGACCAAAATTTCACAAAAAAAACCTCTAGAAACTTTTTAAAAAACTAAAAGTGAATTAAGTTCTTATTTTTCTAAATTTTTAGTTATTTCATTTCATCATTCTCTGCCATGTAAATAAAAAAATGTTAATTATTTGTTGTAAAATAACATGTAGACAAAATTACTCTTTTTATCCTTTAATTTTAAGGTAAATTATTTTTCGTCCTCTAACTTTTTTCGAATTTATTTTCTTCCTCAAAGTATTATTTTTTTCACGTCAGTCATTTTTGTTAATTCTGTTACATAACCTAACAGAAATGTCCTATGTGACGCTAAGATGACATTAATGTTGTTTATTTAATCTAACCTGAATTTTTTAATTTAAAAAATAATTAAAAATAGGAAGGTGACGCTGAGATGTAACTTTCTCTTCCCTTCTCCCTCTCCTTCCTTTTTCAGCAGCCCATTTCTCTCTCAGTGAGTCCCCTTTCTCTTCCACAATCTTTCTTTGTCCTCCCGTAGCTTCTCCTCTCTCTCCCCTCCTCTTCCTTCTCTTATTGTTCCATCACCTCTTTCCCCTCAACCCATGAACTCTATCTTTTTAGCCTTGTCTCCTCCTTCCTGCATTTCCCTCCTTTTCCTCCTCTGCAGCTCCCCCAACCCATCAACTTTGTATTTTTCTTCCCGCAGTTCCCCTCCTCTCTCCTTCCTCCTCCCGCAGTTTCTTCCACCCCTTTCCACAACCTACCAACTTTATCTCCTCCTTTCCGCAACCCCTTTGATTTAAAACTGCAACTTTTTACTTTATTGTTTATTGGGTTATTTCAGATTTTCATCAAACTCCTTCTCTCTTTGTGAAATATGAATCTCTCGTTATTCTGTTGTTTATTTGTATTGTTAATAATGCTTCACTTGCGGGAAGGGAAAACGGAGGCTGCGGAGGAGGAAACAAGATTGATGGGTTAGAGGGAAGGGGATGACGAAGCTGCGAGAAAGGAGAGAAATAGTTGCAAGGAGAAATGAAAGTTGTGAGAGGGAAAAATAAGATTGGTGGGTTGGGGAGAAAAAGTGTTAGAGCTGTAAGAAAGGAGATGAAAATTTGTGAGCAAGAAAAAATGGACTGCAAGAGTAGGAGGTAGGACTAGTGGGTTGGTGATTTGAGAGGAAAGAGGTTGAGGAGCTATTAGGAAGAGTGCCACAGTTGTATTTTTTTAATTATTTTTTAAATAAAAAAGTCCATATATGATTAAACAAACGACTTTAAGATATTTAAGTGTCACATATGATGTTTTTGTTAGGTTATATAATAGAGCTAACGGAGATGATTAATGTGAAAAAAAAAAACAATACTTCAAGATGAAAATGAATAAAAAAGAAAAGTTAGAAGACGAAAGTAAATTTTACTCTAAAATTAAGAGATGAAAAGAATAATTTTGTCTAACATATATAAATTAAAATAAAAATAATATTTGAAAGGATAAAGTAGAACAACATTTCTAGTTACTAAAATATACTTTGTAAGGAAATTCTCCTTTTTTATAACACATATTGACATTATATTTTAAAATTAAATATTGGTATCCATTCATTGATTTTCTTTGATATTCACACAAGTAAATTCTGTTATTAAAAAATTATACTGAAAATATAAAAAAATATAAAAATTATACAATATTAATAAAGTATTTTATTAGTGTTGTATAAACAAGAAATTGTTCACATTCTGCCTAAAAAAGAAACACAATAATAAAAAGAAAATAAAATATAATTTTGTTGAAAATAACTTAATGGTTAACATTTATTCTTACTAAATAAAAAAAAATGCATAGCAAAGATATGAAAGCAATAAAAAATTAATGAATCATGAATGTTATACATTGTACAAAAAATAAATCAATATATAATTACTTTTATATATATACTTTTTAACACAATACTTACTATATCTATATATTAATTTTTTTGAGATATATATCGTAATTGATTTAATTTTTATTAATATATTATATTTAATTGATTTTATAATCATGCAAAATTATGTTTTTTTTATCTTTCAAATATAAATATTTTTATGACATCTTTACAATATATTTTGATGTTTTATATTTATAAAATTTTATTCTTTAATTATTAAATTATATTATATTATTTTAAAATAAAGTACATGTGCATTTCTAATTATTTTTCGTAAAGAATAAGATCGAAGTAGAACTTTTGATCACTTTTTCATGTATATACTTAGATTTATTTATTGAAAGAATCAGCTGTTATATAATTAAAAAAATTAATCATTACAATTAAATCTGCATCAATTTACATAAATAAAATATCACCCCAATAAGAATTTTACTATTCAACAGGTAGAGTTCATTTAAGATTTTTATTAAAATATTATTATTAGTTTCATCAACTAATAGAAAAATTATATTTTATACAATTATTTAAAGATACTTGATAATAAAAAATTTAAAATAGCAATAAACTCCCCTTTCAACATCTCTGTTTAAAAGGAATTTGAAAAACAATTTAAAATTTGAATTCTCACGCAAGACCCATTTGAATTATCAACTTATTCAGCTCATTAAGCAAGTTCAAGCAACCTAGATGGATCTAAACATTGAGGCAATGCTAGTCTAAAATAAATACGGAACAGAAAACGCAACAAAAAACTATTCAATTAAAACAAAATTAAGGCATCTCATGGAAACTAACAAAGAACAAGATACAACCAGATGACTTAGTTTAGGTTGAATTTTGGATGAGATATATTTGCCAAACTATCCCATGCCACACTTGACCCTCATCATTGCAAAATCTGTTGCTTGAACTTGAGATTTTAGTAAACTTGATGCTATCAATTTAGATTCTTGATTCATCTCTTGTATTGTAAAGAAACTAAATGGCAATATTTTTTTCTTTCTCCCAAATTGACACCACAATTAGATGCCTCCATCAGAAGTCAATAGTGATGATTTAACAAAACTGGTGGGCGCTTTTGAGTCATTCTCCTTTGCCTTTTTGTCATTTCGTTGACGTGACTTATTTAAAGCTTGGTCAGATTGGGAGACAATCTTGGATACAGTAAATCCTGCAACTTCAAAAGTGTGTGATCTATAGGGTATTAAAGAGTTGCGAAGAACAACATCAACTCCTTCATATGTCCAAACACCTAATACAGCATCTCCTTTAAGTCCAATGGCAAACCAACCAAGGCCACCAGCAGCAATGTCTACAGAACTTGAGTCCCAACTGTGCCCACTAACATGAAATTCCCTTCTCACCCAATTCCCCAGTTCTTGCACTCGTTCTTCTCCAATTGGTGGCTTGACAAAAACAATTTAGACCGATGTTATACAAGAGGAAACAGTAATACACGATTAATAATGCTTATGAATCAAGGAGCAACTAGTGTTCCTTTCTTCTATAACATAGAGGTTTTATGCATTTTGCATGGTATGATAACTTCACCATAAGCATATTACAGTAACAGCATACCTAGATCTTACTTAAGTTCACAGGTTATTCTCTGAAAATAGTTCCAGTAAATTTTTGAAGAGCACTGCCAAACCATCTGAAGGGGGAAACTAAAATGAAATAAATGCTGCTAAATCCTATGATCAGGTTAACATGATTAACAGATTTCAAGGTCATTTTAAAAGCTTTTGGTACAGACCTTTTTTCAGTTTGGATGCCACCTCTGGATCAAACTATAACAAATATAAAAGTACAATTTTGTAATGATTAAAATACAAATCTATTATTTGTAGGTCACGTCACAAACCAAGACAATATTTTCAGAAGACGCTTTATTATCAACTATAAGCCTTATGGACAAGGAGATGCTGAATAAGTAGTCAACTAAAATAAGCAAAGAGAATACCTGTAACTGGCGCCCAAAATGATCTTGGAACATTTTACTTGCATTTTCTATTTTACCCATATGCAGTGGAAGATAAGGAGATGCCCACACTGTGACATAAATAGTATCCAGGGATGTTTCTTCTATATCCAATCTCATTAGACCAGCTATGTGAATTGAATGACCAGCCTACCACAATAATTGGAAAGAAAATGTAGTACAAGTTTAACATGAAACAAAAGACAAAATATGAACACAGCAGCACAAATTAGCATATATGATGATAACATTAAATTCAGTACCACAAAATAACATTTCAGTGCACTAACCTTAATTCTGTATGTTCTAGGTTTCAACTCCTTGCTCATGTGAACAAGCTTTTGCTCTTCCCTCACCAACCTTGTTGTAATCTGGTAAGGATGAAGAAGGCCAGGTGTATCAAATAATTTTGCTTGACTTGGAAGAACACCCTCCACTCTAACAATGCCTAGTGTGGTCCCTGGTACAGGTGCTTCTGTCAGATGTGTAATCTTCCCTCTAATATACTTCCCTATAGAATTTATTAATGTACTCTTTCCTGCATTCTGTGCCCCAACAGCCCACACATTTCCTCTAGGTCCAGCCAATTCAACTACATTATCCACAAGATTCTTCAGTCCCCAATCCCTCAACGCACTCACCATGTGCAAACTGGTAATCTTATTAATTCCACCTTCTCTTGCTCTTTGCCTAATCCAATGTTCCAGTCTTGTTGGTGACAATGTGTTAGGCAATAAGTCAATCTTTGTTACTACAAGTACCACTCTAGGAATGTTCCCTGACTTACCCTGCTTCCATGCAGCGGAATTATCCTCAATTGTCTTAGAGACCAACTTTGCAACCTTCCTGGGAAATGACCCATCAAAATCCACCACATCCACTACCATTAGCACTACTGACCGAGTCCCAGATGTTGATGCCAACTTCCTGCCCACTGTATGATCAAAGTCAAAGTCTGGTAGCAAATTTTCCACTGTTGGGTCCTTCACCTTCCCATAGTGCCTCAGTGAATGACAGCGTGCACATACCACTGGCTTCTCTGGTTTCCTGATCAAGTTTGCATCGCCATTAAGCTGTTCTGGTTCAATAACAATTCCCTGTTTAACTGAATTAGAGAATTCAGGCTCTTGTGCAACAGGTTCAAGATGGGTGTATAATCTATAATTCAGGTCCTTCTCAGAGGGTTTAATAAAATAACCAGGGTGTTTTGGGTTTGAATCCTGCATATAAACCCCACAACCAGGGCAGACATGAAGGGGCTTGGAAGGTATTTCATCATAATTACCTTCACGAGAGAGGGGTAAATTTTGGTTTGTAGCTAAATCTGCAGGTTGTGAAGAGAAAGACCTAAACAAACTAATTGATGATTGCGGCAAAAACTTTGGAAAGCTTTGGAAATGGGCCTTTGAGCATGGGATTAACATTGAACAGATATTTGCCTGAGCATGGTTTTTGCACTCAGAGAGGAGCGATAAATAAAACAGTGGCTTAAGTTTTGAAGGGGAGAGATTTCGAGCTCCAAGCATTTCTATGTGTTGTTTAATCTGAATCTCAATAATGGTTCAAGACTCTGAAAATTAGAGGTGACTTATCAATCTTCCACTACAAAGATCCAAAGAAAGAAATCCACTGAAATTCAAAACACAACATTTTAGGAGGCAAATTTAGCTGCTGAAAGGTGTTCTAGATATAGAATCTCTTCATGAATCAATCAATAGGTTTTCTGATTAGAAAGGAAAAATATCCAAATTGTCACAATTCCTCGTCACTCTGAACTTTGCGTAGGAGTTCAAATGTCTCATCCTTTTTTGTAATAATTTAGCTGCAACATTAAAACAAGTTAACGATATTAGCTCTCAAATTGTAACCACCATAGTAATGTAGTTAAATTTCAATTGACCCAAGTATTATTATAATTCAATCCCACTAATTTCACTTAGCAATGGACATGGAAAAAATAGTGTGAAAGAAGATACAAAGGAAAGCGGGAAAAGGGTAAGATAGTTAAATTAAATAAGTTAATAACTCATGTAGTGGACCTGAAAACCCCTTCCTTCCCACTAAATAAGGAAAACCTTTGCAATATAGCTTACCTAATTACCTGAATACACTTGTGCTGCACTTAATGCTCAATTATGACAAACCAAGTGATGAATTTTTGACTCACTAATTTTATCGAACACCATGTAAACCACCTTTCTGTCTGTCCCTTAAATCTTGTTGCATAATGAAAAAACAGAAAATTTTTGTGTGTAATCAGTGTATATACAGTGTGTAGTATACCATCCAAGGTTGCATGTCAGCGACGTTTTGCATTCCTTGACGCAGTGATGGGAACCCAATCTTCGATACAGTATCTGTCACAAATGGAAAAAAGGAAAAGGCACGTCTCTTATGAACCAAATCACACAAAGGATAACAAGAACCGATGCAGAGAGAGGAGAGGAACCTTCAACTCATGGAACCCTCTTACGGTGCTGTTAGGCAATGGGTTTTGGCGTCGCAATTTGATAAACCCCTCGTTTTTCCCCTCTAATGGTTGCATACGTTCTGTAATTTTTATTTTTTTTTTGGAAAAATAATATTTACAGTCTTTAAAGTTTTATACGATATTTTATATTTTACACTATTTTTATTATTAATTTAATGTAAATAATTTAAGGTTTTAAAAAACATTATAATGTAAATGATATAACTTCTAAAAAATAATTTAACAGTGTAAGCCACTGAAGTTTAAAAGAAAAACAAAATTTTCATGCATAAGAAAATTTTTAAAATTACTTTTATTCAACTATACATTATATTTAAAAGTAATATATACACCACTTCAGTTTTGATTTTTTACTATATGATTTAGTTATAAATAAATAGTGTCTAAATAGTCCTTTAGTTTAATTTTGGTTTAAATACTAATCAATTCATAATTAAATTAATTTATATTTAAATAGTTAGTCAGATAAAAATGTCAAATTAGATTAAAATTAATATAAACATAATGTTTGTTTGTATAACTAATGAAATTGATTTTAATTGAAGAAAAAAAATTGATGTTAAATATATATAGTATTTTATGTGTGTCACCATTTTTATCATTAATTTTAGACACTTTATTCTATAAATGGATAGCCAACCAAACTCATAATTGATGACTACTTGTTTAATTAATGATAATAGTAACAATATAGTAACGCTAAGCTTAAATATAATCTCATAAAAATATAAAGACTAAAGATACATTTTAAGTCAAGGATATTTATATAAAAGAATTTGACATTGAATTTAACTCAATCATTTAAAGTTAGTTTATTTTTTTGAGGATGCATCATTCAAGCAATTTCTTGAGTTGAGCTTAATTAGCTCAGTCAAATTTATTCTACTTTAATATTTGAGGATTTATAGCTAATTAACAAATATTTGAGAATTTATAATTTAAGCAATTCAAAATATGCATCTTGCCTTACTACTTTCATTTGTTCTCTTAATGTGTATTTTTCATTGTGTGTATATATATATGTTTTGTATAGTATGTGTTCCTTCTCCAACAAAAGAAGAAAAGAAAATGTAAATAGATAAATAAAAATAAAATAACTTTCAAATACTTTTTTCCTAGTGTATATATTTATGTTTTTCTTATTTTAAATATATACACTAGAAAAATAACATTTTTGAGGTTAATTTTTATTTTTATAACTAAAAATATTTTATCACACATTTTCAATACATTTTTTTTAGCTGAATAAGACTCACCTAATCACCTAAATCATGCAAAGCACACTACTTAATTAACAAAACTTACATAAAGTTTATATAATAGCTATTTGTTAGAGAGGCATTTAAAATACTTGTTGAGATCAAAATATCTTATGTCAAGTACTCAAGCTAGAAGTTTCACACCAATGCAAGAAAGAATTAATTTATTATTTAAAAATTTATCAAACGAAATTTATTATCAGCATACAATTTATTACCTTGAAATGCATAATAAATAATAAACCATAAATCATATGGCATTCTTGATGGACTGAATAAGTGTTAGTGCCCATTAAAGATTTATCTTATACACGTACATGTCCTTTATTTTTCTTTCGGGTACCGGTAGGTTTCAATGATAGATGCCTAAAAAACCACACTAAAAAGATACAAAAATACGTTTTATGAAAAATATAACCCAATAAGCACAGAAGCATCTTGGTATTTATTGTCTTAATAAACGATTACCATGAAATATGTCCGTGCATTTCATGGTTTATTTTTTTATTAAATTAATTTATTTTAAAATATAAAATATATAATTTAAATATAAAAATATATAAATATAATAAAAAATTTATTTATTAAAATAAATTATTATTTAAAATATGTATAATTTAGTATTTCTTAGCATAAAACAAAATAGCATACAAATATCTTATTTTTAAAATGTAAAAATAAAATTTATATTATTTCATAATATCATAAATTATAATTATAACAATAAATTATTAAATATAATAAATTTTTTAATATAAGTTATAAAATTTAAATAAAAAGCTTTAAAATTTTTAATTTATATATTTGTTTGTATTTGTTGAATTAAATTTATATGATAAACTATCTATTTATAATTATAATTTCAAATTATTAATAAAATTTTATTATATAATTATTAAAACATAATATCATATTTTTTAAAAATAACTTATCAGACTAATATATAAAAAATAAAGTATTTATTCAATTAATATATGAAATTTTAAAAATTTACTTTAAATATCAATATACACAAAACTATAGGTTAATATTAAAAAATAAAAATATATTAAACTTTTTATATATAAATAAAATTACCATACAAAAATATTGTAAATAAAATTTAATAATAATGTAATATATATACTGAATTTAAAAGTTTAGTTTTTGATAAAAAAAATATATAGAATTGAGTTTTTTTTTTTAAATGATTAAATTAGTTTATATTTTTTATTAACTTAATAGAATTAATATTGATTAACATTATAAATAAATTAATTTTATTTAATAACTAATTAAATATAATAAAATTATGTTATTTGGGTCATAAAATTAAAATAATAAATTTATTAATTTTTATGTAATTATTTTTTAATTTTTGAAAATAATTAATACAATTTGTTTATTATTTATCGTTTTAATTAATAATTAACAAAAATTAAATATATCTATAAACTAATTTAATGATAAAATAATATTTTAAAAATTTTATTAAAAAAACAAATATTAATTTAAATAAAATTTAAAAAATAAATTTAAAATGCTATATAAAAATAAACATATAGATTAAATTAAAAATAAATAAATGAAAGTATATTATTATTAGGTTTCTAATTATTTTAAAACTATATAAATATAATTTTAATATAAATATATTAAAATATTATATCACCATTAAAAAAATAAATATATTTTAACTATTTTGACGTAAATATGATGAATTAGATATTTGATTTTTCTTTTCAGATATATCTTTTGTTTATCTCTCTCATATATTATCTAATTCTAAAAAAAATGTTAATATTTAGTGAACTTGATTTAATTTTTTTAAAATAAAAAAATATATAATTTTAATAATATAACATAATAAATAATTATATTAATGAAAAATATTTGTACTGATTTGATATTTTTATGTATAATATTTAAATTTTGATTTATATTCGAAAACTAATTGTAAGTTCACAAAATGACTAAATTTTTCTATCAGGAAGCACTCTTCTTTGTATTTGTAATTGAATGCTATCATAAAATTTCTTAAAAATATTAAAATTTATATTCTAGTCTAAAAATTTTGATTAATCATATAGTTAGAATATGAAATTTTAATAAATAAATATAATTTGATATGTTAATATAAAAAATATTTTTATAACATTTTAAATACTAACTTCTATTTTTTTGAAATTAAAGTCTTTTAATAGTTCTAAAGATTTAGACTACATACTTATAAAATTTTAAAACAAATGATATATATAAAAATTAAATATAATATTTAAATTTAATTCAAAGTTAAAACGTTATATTTTTTTTACTTATTTATTCATTACGATATAAAATTATTAAATATAGAAATAAAATGATTAAATCATATTCATTTTCATTGTTATGATATTTAATAATTTTTAATTTATTTTAATTATTATAATTAATTAGTTTTAATTAGAAAATTTTGATTTTATCATCATCATTATAGCATTTTATAAAAAATAACATTGCAACAAAATTATTAAGTATAAATATTGTTAATTTTTAATTTAAAAAAAAATTTGTCATCATAATTATTATAATATAAAATATAAATAAAATATTGTCTATGTTAATATGTTATACATAATTATGATATATCAATTTCTATTAAATTATTTTAAAAAAAAATTAAAATAATAATAATAAAAAAAAATAGAGTAGTTAAAAATTTTTAATTAAGATTTAAGTAGAAATTAAAACAGAAGAATTGTTGTATTTAATATAAAATTAATCTTTATATTAATTATATTTATAGATATTGATATAATATAAAATTTATGAATCACATATAAGGTTTGTCTAAGAACAAAATCAATACATAATATATATATTAATAAAGTAAGAGAAATATATATAATAAAATAATATTATTATTTTATAAAGAACTTAAATGTTTAGTGACATTTTACTTTTAAGATTCTACACAATATTAAAGTATTTATACAATAATGCAATAAAAATAGTTTAATTTTCTAAATTTTCAATTGTTGCCTTTTGTTCAACATTTTTTGCTTCGTCTTCCTTAAGTTGCAACCTAAAAGAAAATATCAAATATAAATTATTAATCTAAGAAATTTGAATAATACATTATAAATTTATAATTTATACATTAATTTCCTCATTCTTTTTGGTAAATTTGGTGTTTCCATGGTTAGAGATATAGGTGAACAACTTATTGCTAAATCATTTTCTTTTGTTTTTAAATTTGTATTATCTAAACCTTCTTTCATCTCAATCTGTAAATATCAAACAATGAAAATAAAGTTATTCATCATTGTATTATAAATATTATAAATGAAGGTAATGAAACTCCAATTTAATCTTCTATATTACCATCACTATTTACCTTCACAATTTTATTTACAGTAAAACTTTATCTTCCACCACTTTCAAAGTAAGTACTCGTTTTTATTTGAACAATATGTAAAGTGTCAATAATCTTTAAAAGTTGCGGAGACAACTTTAACACTTTACCATCACCTTTAAAAAAATTATCACATAAAAATAGTTATATGTTTTAATATATTTTATTTATATAATCAATTATTTAATTAGATTTTTTAGGAAGTTAGAAATTAACATATTTGCTTACAATTTCAGATGTTGCAATAAGATCTTTTAACTGTACTTGTGCTAATTGTTTAACAACTTCATCAAATAAGACAAATATAATTAAATCCATGAAATCTTTAACATCAAATTCAAGACAAAACATGTAATATATATAAATTAAGGTCATAATATATAATTCAATTTATTTTAATATGAAAATTTAAAAATTAGAATACATAGTGATAAATTAATTACCTTGTCATTAAATATTCAATATATTTATAACATGATTCACATTTTAAATTTATAGTTGTGAAAGAAAATTTGTTCTTACAATGAGGATAAGAAATATAATACTAATAATTTTTAAGCATTACATTGTTCACAGTTGTAATACAATCAATTATGACATTTTGAAAATTAATTAAAAAATTAGTTTAAAAATTAAATAAGAAGAACAAAATATAAGAGAGATTAAATTTATTATATCATTCTTTGATTTTGTCATTGTTAAGATTTCATATATGTTTTTGAAATTTTTTAACTTATTAAGAATAGTAGATCTTGTATCATCAACATTGTGAGTAATATTTATATCATTAAAATCCCTTCAACAAAGTGATAATGAATTTTTGAAAATATGGTTATAATAAAAAGTAATGAATTAGCAATAATTAACACAATAAAGAGATTTTAAATAATTTCAATATCTGAATGAATCTATAAAATGAGTAACTTCTGATATGTCAATATTGACATAATTCTTTGTTGATCTTGATGTAAAAATATAAATATTACCTATAATACATACACTCATATTTTTTATAATTAAATATCATATATATTCACACTTTTATTTTCTATTCTTCTGTTGTTGAATTTAGATCGTTAAGAAAAGTCTATTTATCTTCGTTGAAACTTGTTCTCCTACAACATCATGAAAAACATAAAAGTAAATAATTACTTGTGATGAATATAAAAAAATAATAAAAGGTATGATACAAATTAATCAATTAAAAATAAAATTTAATACATTATATTATTTAAAAATAATACGACTTTATGCTTACTCAAAAAAATAAATTAAAATATATAACACAATTTAGTGAAACAAAATAAAAAATATCAAACTTGAAAACACATATATACCTACGTGGATAGGACATAGTTACAAAATATAAAGAAAAAATATGACAATAAAAAGAAGGTGAGCAAGTTTTCAAAAGTTGTGTAAATATGACTTATATAAATAGATAGGAAAGGTCATAAAATAAAAATTTAGTATAATAAAAGTTATCTTTTTATTTAAAATTTACTTTAATAATATAATATATAATATAAAACAATAATTCACATTCAACGTATATTTTAATTTTTGAAATATATATTAAACTATATATTATATTAAACTAATTAATAAAATTATCTAAACATGTAAACTTGCTTTTTTATTAGAAATGTAATTTAACAATATATAGTATAAACTAATAATTTTACAAATATTTTAATTTTTGAGATATATATTGAACTATATATTATATTAAATTAATTACTAAAATAATTTAAATATATAAACTTGTCCTTTTATTAGAAATTTAATTTAATATAATATAAACTAATAATTTTATAAATGTATTTTTTATTTAAATTACATTTTAATATTTGAAGTAAATATTAAAATATAAATTAAATTAAACTAATTAATAAAATAGTTTAAATATATAAAAAAAGTTTATAAAAAAATTGAATTTAATAATATATAATATAAAGTAATAATATTATATGTGTAATGTTTTAATTCAACATATATAATATAATCATAACTTAGTAATAAATTCTTCTTAAATATATTTCATAATAAGTATGAATCAGATATAATTTTAATTTATAAATTTTAAAAAATGTTGTAGTTAATTTTAATAAATAATAATTTAAGATAATTTATAATATAAATATTTATGTTGTCATGTGTAACGTAATATAACCATAAATTTTAATATATATTTTTTTTAAATATAATGCATCAAATCTAATAAAAAAAATTTTAAATACAATTCAAAAATAATAAGTATGACTAAAATATAATTTTAATAAGTAAATTTTACGTTTTGAATTTTAATATAGAGAGTAATAATTAGATGCAATTAATATAAGTAACTTTATAACTTCTGAATTTTAATGCATAAAGTAATAAGTAAATAGAGTCATATACATATAAAGATGACTTTATATGTTTTAAAATTTAATGTATAGGATAATAAGTAAGTGTAGTCAATTTTACATATAGATATAAAATATAAAGATAGATAGATAGATATAGATAAAGAAACAATATACTAAGCCTAACAAGTTATATTGCATAGCATGTGTTTCTAAAGTTTTTTGTACATAATGGAAAGGCATAGGCATATACTGAACCTGAAAAATGATTGTCGTTCAAAAGATACATGGGGACTCACAAGGAACAGTGATCTTTTAGGACTTGCCTAGCAAGATCAAGAGCTCCACTCTTTTTGTAGATTAAATGCAAATTATAAGCTGCCTCCCTCCGAAGGTCGCAGTAACCAGGTTTATGATTTTCGATGACATCTGGATTTTCATTGGGAAGTTTTGGAATTGGATAGTCTCTCTCGTGAATAGCAATTACTTTCTCGTAGTATAAAGCAGCCAGAGTTACTAGACCAACATGATGGTATGCCCGAGCTATGTTGTACAGTGATTCCTGAAAGCTTAATAGTTGTTTACTTCAGTCTCACCGTATAACGTATAAAGAAGAAAACCCATGACAATAATCATCCCGCTGAACTTCAATATCTGAGAAGCTAGACCGGTTATTTAAATGTTTACTAATTTTAATTTAACTAATGAATCCAAGAATCCATAAATTGGAAGTTTCAGCAGACTGACATTCTAAGCAAATATTATAGTTGACCTAGATAGTCCAATATAAATAAAGCTGATATCTTCATTTTTCTTGTTTTCATTTTCATCATTTTTCTTCATAAATGGGCACAAAAAAATTCATGAGTGTTGAGCAAACAAACCTGGCTGTTCTCACAGATTCTCAAATTATTGTAGAGGAATGCCAAACCTTGTACAACACATTGATGCTTATTTTGAAGTCTGAAACCCAATGCTAAGTTGATCAAGGCCGTTCCTGAGAAATGTTGACAAATAAAAAATCAATTAGTGGCCGCCTGTTATTGGCTAAGAAAGCAATACACAGATAAAGCATGAAATAAATAAATAAATAAAGCATACCAACACAAAGATTAACCAAGGGATTCTCTGGCAATAGTTTATAAGCTTCTAGGTATTTCCTTGCTGCGTCTTGATGATGGCTAAATAAGGTAAACTGATGCCCAGAAATGAGAATGGGAGGCACAGAATCCACAAATTTTCCTTGCATAACACGTACAAATTTGTAGTGTCTTGTATCTCGGTTTTCCAATCTATCAACCAGGAGATAACAAGTATATGAAATTTTAGAAAAACCAGCTCCTGTTTTCTCTTTAGATCATAGATCTATGTCCAAGTCCAACTATTATTACAGCAAATTAGAAAGCCTAACTAATGCTTTGTCAAGAACCCATGGTACCTCGCGTCCACAGATTTACCTTGACATAACCTTGTAGTAGCAATTCCAAGCTGCAACACTGTGTGGGTGTTGCTGAACAATGTATTTTACACAATCAAACCCATGCTTAGGATCTGTGGTGTTGTATGCCATTTCTGTGTAGAACATAAAATTGCTTTATCAGCAAGATATGGATTTTCCTCCCTAGAACAAAAAATTAATTTTCTCTCTATAAGAACGTTTATAATAACAGGAATATCTAAAACTAAAGAAGGGGAAAGAAACAAACAAACATTAAGCAAGCACTAATTTTTTTCTTTTTTTGTTTTTTGGTTTGATTTCTTGGAATGAGAAAAAAGTTGGAACTTGAAAGAAAAGAACCCATCTAGGGTTCAGGACTTACGAGCTCCAAGAGATCGAAGCTCCTCCTTCTTCTCAGTAGACAGAGACATATGAGCCAATCTTAGAGTAAGATTAATAATTTCCAGTGCTTCCCAATACCTTTGCAAGGATGCTAATGCCTTGCACAACTGAATAACAATATTAAGGGGTCAGATATTAGAGAGGAAAGGAGATGCAGAAAAAAGAGATAGAAGTACTGACATCAATGATTAGCTGGTGGTGTTCTTCATCTTTGAGAAGATTACACAAGGGAGGTTCTCTGTTTTCTTTCTAAAAACATCCATGCAATATGCACAAAAAGGGAGTTAACACGTTATCACCAAGACTTTTGTTCTAGAAGTGAGAATAGATGACACCAAAACCATTTACCTGAGGCTCATCATCTGAATCATCACTTAGCCAGTCAAGTCCGGAGGCCAGTGCCTCAGCTTTTCTTTTCTCCTTTAGGATTGCCTTCTTCTGCAGCAGCTTTTTTGCCCGGGAAGCTTTCAACCTAATTTCATAAATCAATAAGCGAAAATCTTCTCACTTTGTAACCAAATAGTAAGGGATAAAAAAATCCAAAAATAAATGAAATTGTAAATTGTTTATCCTAAAACTTTTGTTCTGGTATATGCAAAGGATTAAAAGAGATCAGTGACCATTGATCTGTATGCACAGATAACATGCATGATACGTGTACCATACAGATATTGGCAAGGGGAGACTGATTTTTCAAAATATAGAAAAATTAACGTTTTAATTAAAGAAAATCATAAAATAATAGTATTTGAAGAATGAAAGTTTTTAGGCATAATAATATAACAATAATCTTATACGGTTTGGTACATACAATTCATTTTTGTTGATGCTTTTAATTTATTAGATTACAAACAACAGATATCTTAATTCTACTGCCCATCAATAGATGGGCAAGGGACTCCACAAGCTCCTTAAAAGGCTTAACCTAGCCTAAAATCTATGAATTAATCTATTGAGATACAGATCCAAGACCCAAATCCATCTGAGGCGTAGAAGTCTACCATCCTTTTTCATACTGTTTTATTTGAACAGGAAAAGTTCACTAAATTTCAATTTTTAAGTCCTCAAGACATGACACTCTCAATGACTTAGAAGAGGGAATTGAAGCCAGGGAATTAATGCCCAGTAAAATGCTAGAAGCGCTTGACATAGTTCAACTATCAAAGTTGCATAACAATAGACTATTTGAAAATAAAGATATTTTGTACCAAAAAATTTGATATTAACTGAAGCACTTGTTAAACAATTAAAAAGAGAGAACGGGAGGGAGGGAGGGGGGGTAAGAGCAGAGAAAACGTAAAAATGCATGCAGTCTATAGCCTACATGTGTAGTTTTATTAGGGAGGAGAGATAGAATTGAATGGTTATCAATCAATCAACCCTCAATTAGTATCCTAATCAACAGCAATCTATCAACTAGAACCAATCCCTCAATTAATCATCATTAACACTAACTCAAGCAACTTTCTTTAATAATTTTCCGTACTCAATAGAATTGGATGACAGATCGCCCAAAATGTTAATACAACTGATTGTACATGTCACAGTAGAATTCGAAATATGATTACAATATGTGCGAAACATTACTCACAGATCAGACGGTGTAGCTACTGGCCTGAAGCCTCTAAATACATTATCCTTTTCTGGACCATCTAGTACCCTAACCCTTTCAACCAGATCTCTTTTGGAGAGGCGCTTTTTTGATTTACCCTACAGCAAAAACAAGCAATGAAAAACAAGAAATAGTTATAAAAGCATGAAAAAGGTATCGCTTGGCAGAGGACAAGAAATCCTACAGCATCTAAAGACAAATTGAGGAGAGTAAGGTAAAATAGCTAAAAAATGAAAACACGATGACCAATCTTTCACATTCTCTTAGACACCAGCCATTTTAGAGCCTGCTGCCAAAAGCTTAAGCTCTTAGAATGAGTCTGTCCATAACATGTTATTAGAACTTTTTAAGTTACACTCATTCTTCTAATATATCAGAAGCCCAGAAAAGGTTTGTAAGGAGCCTGTGTTTTGACCATGCTTAAATCTAAGACCTTTCATATGAAGCAACGTAAAAGAAATATAAACAACTCCTAGACCAGCAACCTAAAGCTATAGTTCTTGGCTTAAGTTGGTCCTCAAAACATATCAACAGAAATTCTCTTGAATAAACCATGAGCAAAGCACCAAAAAAAGCAGATAAGCAGTTAAGCACATTGCTACCATAATAAATGTAAGGGGAAATATATTGATATACTCTTGACAATATTCTTATCCAATCAAATACACAGTAAAACAGAATAAGCCACACCGAATGAATGTATCAAAATTAGGGGGTTTAGGTTAGCAGAAAGAAAAGGAGGAAAAAAAGACTCTATTGTAAGATTGATAATGCCTTGATTTGATGTCTAACAATTTGATGAAATAATCATAAAACCTAGGGCACTAACCCTTCATAATTCAAACTAAATAAGGAAACAAATCATGAGACAGGAAATATGGTAACCAGTTGTAAGAGATAATGAGGAAATGAGGAAACTAATCCTGAAAGATAATCTAAGATATGATCAAGACAATATTAAATATTTTCATATATTCTAACAGAATGCAATAAAAGCATTGCCTCCTAATGCCTGCCCAAAGGAGAGAAGAACCAGTTTAACTCCAATTAACTTACTCCTATAGGAAATTTTAAAATAAGTAAAATATATGAGCTAAGGAGGACAGGAGACATTTCAAAAGTATTTAATCCAGCTACCACTCTTAGCCAAGATAATTTTCAATCCTAACACATAATCGGAGTTGAAGGGTGAAAATATAACTGGCATAACCCATATGCATACTATCTTCAAACCTTAATGAAATCTCACTCCATACACCTTGCATCAGCCTAGTAAAGACATCAACAATTAAGATTAAAAAAATAAAGACACCGGATATCCTTGCTTCATGTCTCACTACCCTGTGCACCAAGACTTAATAAGCAGGCTATTCACAGACCGAAAAAGGTACCGGCAGAAAAGAAACCAGACCTTGGTTACTCCACCTAAACACAACCCTTCCTTTGCATGACCTTAAAAGAATGCAAGAAGTAAAGAAAGAAAAAGAGAAAAGGGAGAGAGAAGAAAAGAAACTCTATTAAGAGTTTTTCCAATATTATTCTGCAAGCTTAGCTTTGAATCAGTTACAGATATATATATATATATATATATAGTTGAAGTTGACTTCTAACAACCATGACAAAATATAGTTGTTAAAACAAAATCTGTAACTAACTAATAGCTAATCTGTGAGATTAGTTCTAGCTTAAAACAGAATGCCAGAAAAGAGAAAAAATTAATACAAAACTAATACAACCGAGTTGTCTGCTCTAATAGACCTTATCTAAAACATCCCAACTGACCCACCATAACATTCTTGAAAAAATTAAAAACCAAGCCCCAATGGTTCTTCTTACTCCATTAAGTGCAAGATTAAACCATTCTTTGTCGAGGAGGGGGTAAGCCTTATTCAAAAAAGGTTATGGCTTGAAAAGACCCAAGTTGCAGCTATTGAACAGAGCAATCAACTTCGAAGATCTAGTTGAAACAACTTAGTTTAACATGTTAACATTCTGAAAACAAGTAGCATGCATGTTCACAGAGGTATTTGTGAGCATCTATGTATCTGTATATGACTCTGTGTGTGCATAAGAGAGAGAGAGCTCAATCTTTAGTTTGGCATATATTACCTTCTGTCGAAGAGTTGCAACATACAGTGATTCACGTATCAAAGGGAAAATTGCATCCACAAAATCATCAAGCATCCCTCTATTCCGATATATGCTGCAGAGATTCAGTTTTATTCTTGCATCAACCCACCATCTATGTGACTTTCCAGAATGAGCTTCTCCAGAGTCTGCATGTATTTCACGTTAAAATCACCATGGAAGAATTTCAATCACAATGAAAGAAAACATGTTTGGAAGTACCGGAGTCCTTTGGAGGAGACAGCAAGGAAATGGCTTCATCTTCTTTTCCTTCTTCAAGTAGAAGGGAAGCCAAAGTTATGCGTGCATCAACATCATCTTCTAGAGTTTCTAGGACTGAAACAAAATCTTGTTTAGCAACCAAGGAAGGAATACGAATATTAAAAAGGAAAATATTAAACAAAGCAAAGACCTATCCAAATATGACAATCATCAGAAAGCAACGACAAGGAGGAGAATTTTGCTTCACTAGCACTTCATCTACAAGCATCTGGTGTAAAAAAACAAGCCTAAAATATGCTCTTTATAACTGAATTCAATTCTCAAGTCTGTTAGGATGTAATTGCAAGGTATGGGATTACAGTCCTATATTAGAAGTATGAAATTCTAGTGTGGGATTTATAAGGTCAAGAGCTCTCTAGCTACAAGCCAAAAACAGCTAGCTTTTGTGGCATGGATTTTCCAAGATTCTTATTAATTGTACAAGAGTCTTCCATCATGTATCTCAACAGTAAATGAGAGACATAAGTGGTGATGTTAGCATTGTATTGTTTATCTGAAACTAGTCAAGAGCTAATGCATGACAAGAATAGCTCTCGTGTATGGTGGTTATCTCAAAGTGTTTATCAATGTCTAAGTCTGAATGTAGAACAGGATGTTATACATATATACAAGCATTTTGAATTTTGGCACACTCCTTTTCTTTTTGTTTTCTGCCCTTATCAAAAGATTATAAAAACAAAAGAGGAGTTTTTAAACTTCAAATAATCAGTCATCAGTCATAAATTTCATTTTTAAATAGAAAGGAAAAAAACGGAAGTAGAATAATGGGAGTAAGATCCTATTCCTCACAAGAAAGGAGAGGTAAAAGAACACAGTAAAATGGATTAAATTGTAACTGAAGCATGCTCAATCTCTATGCATAGCCAAAATAGAAGCCCATCGTAACATCCTTGAGCAAATCAGTAGTGCAATCAATCATTCCTTTCAAACCAATGCACCAATCCCACCAGATAATTACATAAATTAGCCACAAAATTTTGGCCATTTGTTTCTGTCTGAAGTCTAAACCATAAAAAGTTGAAAGCCAACCATTAAATATTTCACTATGGTGAAGAAGCACCAGATGTAATGATGGATAAAATATTTCATTTCAGGAATTAAAAACAAGGGGGAAGTGGTTTTCATAAAGTATCATTTACTGAACTACCATTCTTATTAACAAAATAAATCCTTGCCTTTGGAAAAAAAGAGAATTGCCTGTGACCTTTCTTTCAAGGACTGATAACATCTAGCAATTTTCAGATATAGAAGACCCTGCAAGAAAGAAGTTTAATAAGAGTATCAGATTATCCTGATAAAATAACGATGATGAAAGACATACTCTGAAAATAGATTTCTCAACTGGCTAAAATAGTATCATGCAACCAGAAAGAGCCAAAGTAAAATTATAAAAAAAATGCAAACAGTCAATTATTTCATTTGATTCAGATAAGCAATACAATTCCTCTAACATATCCTCCAGCACTCTAAAAGATTACACCAACAATGATTTCAGGAGGAAAAATAAACAGATGAGGGAAAACACAAAGGAAATGACAAAAAACAAAAGCATGATATTCACGACTTCCAAAGATGAAAATTAGGATGACCAATTTTTTTAAATTAAAATAGATCTCAATAGCTGTGTAACATAACATTGATCATCATCTCTGTTTGTGTGAGGATTATGATGACTAAATGCTCCTTATCCCTTTCCCTAACAGAAAACCAATAAAGCATTGATTCTTATGAGTATCCCTTGAACCACAGTATACACAAGCTTTCAGCTTGTAAAAAGTACAGTAAACTCACATTTGACAAAGCAGAGCACAGTCCAAAAATCTATACCATAACTCTGATACCTAGCACTCAAAACCCCTTATGTGCTTGGTAGACAGTATTCCTAGCAGCTCTTCCCTGACATTCTCTCAGATTCTTCCCAGCTACATACTGTTACCCACATGACACAATTATTCTTTGACTCCCTCCACTCTGTCCTCAATAAAACTAATAACAAACACTGATGGTGCACCCACAAACAAATAACATGAGTTTTGCATCAAATCACAGCAATCAGAAAGTCTCCTAAGAAGCCAATTTGGACCTGAGCCACTTGCCATTAGTAACTATTTAGACTAGAAACCACAGTCATTCCAACTCTTGGATTACACTCTGTCATGCAACAGCACAGATGACATCCAAGTGACCCCACACAATCAGATTTCTAGCTCACATAAAAAAGTTATCTGACAGATAAGAAAAAAGAGTACTATATCCAAACCTAGGATGAAGTTTCTCAATTTTTTGGTTCCTTTTCAGAAAACTAAATAAGACATAGGTTTCAACTTTCTAGGTACAGTACTGCTCAATTACTCTCTGTTATTGGGTGGGGGCCTGGGAATGCTACATCAATCTTCTCAGCACAAAGTATTATATTTCCTACCATGCAATTTAGAATAGAGTGTACATCTTGGAGAGAACCTAAATGAGACATCAAAGACAAATCTGAAAATGTCTTGGAAAGTCAGAATGATGGATCCAATATGTACAGCTCATCAGATTGAAGGACAAAAAAAGCTAAGTGAACTACTCAAGCAAACTACTAGTGTAAAATTAAACAGAAAATTGCATACAGGAATGAGTTACCATACATTTTCATTTCCACTATTTCCTTCCAACATCAGATAATAATTCAATGCAAAATTATAATGCTCAAGACCCATTAATGCGTCTGCAACCTCAGTAACCAAGGCCACATGCTCATTTGCATTCTCTGGCTTCAAATCATTAAACTGAACCTGGTAAACATGAGAAAATGTTAAGTAATATATACAAACAAACAAAAACCCAAGAGAAAGATTCACACACTGTCATTGCATGTCTTAGGCAAGTCTACTTGCACTTCACCATTGTATTAATTGAAGCTAATGAGAAACAAAGAAAATGTTATCAAGAAACAACAATATATTGTGCTTCTGAAAGGGAGTGGGGAAGAGATAGTTGTACAGGAGTACAAACTACAAAGACTAATAGCCTGAGCTTTATTTCTTAGTTTTCCAAAAGAAAAGAAGGCATTTTATCTTTTACAGTACTAGAAGTCTATTTTATTTACAGAAAAAAATAAAGATAAATGAACAAAAATCTCCATAACATAGGAAAATCAGCACAAAGTCACTTGCAAATCTCATTCAAAACACAAACCTCGGAAGGGATATATTATGTGAATGGAGATATTGTGATCAATAAGTAGCAAGGTGTGCCACCCATGAATTAGCAAGGACATAGTCACATAGGAAAGAATGCATAGAATGAAGGTAGGTGTTAAGATGTCCCACATTGGTTAGAAATAGAGTCAGAATACTCCTTATAAGGGTTAAGACAGTTCTCCTCTTATGAGCTAACTTTTGGGAGTGAGTTAGGCTAAAGTTTCTTAACATGGTATCAGAGTCTATTCAGTTTGAACGTTGGGTAGTCCACAGATGTCCAATCTTGGTGGGTCCAACCATGCAGATATCCAGTCCTGCAAATTTCATGCACCAGATGTCTAGTCCTGAACTTGAAAGGGGTGTGTTAAGATGTTCGACATTAGTTAGAAATAGAACTAGAATACTCGTTATAAGGGCTAGGGCAGTCCTCCTCTTATGAGCTAACTTTTAGGAGTGAGTTAGGCACAAGTTTCTTAATAGTAGGAAAACAAAAAAATAAGGAAGTCTCAACTCAATACTCATCCATAGATATTATTCGGTGCATGTTTTGGAAATACATAAATTTGAAGAATAGTTGCTTCTTTTTCAAAACTCTTTTAGGCAATTGGCAAAAAAATAAGCAATTGTCTTTTTCAAAACAAGCTGAACACACTTTATATCAACAAACTTAACAAAATATCTAAGGTTCAAGCAAGATTGATTCAAAGTGGCAATGATCAAGAAAAACACATTTAATTCAATTACAAGTATGCATGAGACGCACCTGAGCCATCTCCATGTTTCCAAGATGAACATGGCAGATTCCAGCTTTAATTTTCAAATACAAAGGCAATTCTTTCCCTGCATTTACCACTTGAGCATGTTCAATATACTGAAGAGCTTTGTCATGCGCCTTAGTTTCCATCAATATGGCACCCAGCAGATCAACTACACGCTCATTTGCTCCATCAGTTTGACTCTTAAGGTAGTCTTCAAGAATACGAACAGAGCATTCAACTTGTCCACATTTTTTGTAGAACTATTACAAAGCAGTATAAATTCAGTTCAACATTAAAAGTAAACCACATAATATTTAATTAAGTCAAAATAAATATTAACAGTTCCTCAAGAACAGTATTTTCCAACCATGATTTCAGCCAAAGAAGAACTGGTTTTGTCAATGACAGATACTGACAAGACAAAATTTCAACATATTTCAGCGCTGGCCCAGCTCAAAAGTGGTCACCTGGTCAAACAGACTACTGGTAAATAAGTGATTTTGGAAATCAAGCTAGCCTGATTTTGGTTTGGGGCCAATATTGTTCATAGTTTTCATACTGTGATTGAGTTGTGCTTAGGTTTACTTTCATTATGTATGATACCATCTCTCATAAAAATCATTTTAAAGTTAAACTCCTTTTGCATGTACACCATTTGGTAAAAATAAAATTTGAATTTTACCCTCTCAAACATCATATTTTCCTATATGCCCCCTTACCCACATCAAAGATGCTAGCTGCCCCTGATAAGGGTGACAATATATAGATACACGGCATTCAACATACAACCAGAATGCATGAATTAAGATCATAAAGGGAAATCATGATTTTCATTTGAAAATAATCACCTTTTCCTAACATCACCAATAAAAATAAATAAATTTAGCAAAGGATTGAATGTCTAGAAGCTTAAATGCATGTTCATATGGCTCAAAGTAAAACACCAACCTTAGCTGCTGCTTTCATTGCATCAACATTCTTAGGACAGAGTTGATGTACTTGCTCATATGCCGCAGCAGCTTTTTGATAATCTCCAAGTTCAACATAGAGCATCGCACGATGATTTCTAAGAGTAATATCTTTGGGGTCTGCTGTTATTGCTTTTGAAAGACAATAACTGGCTTGACCAATATCACCTTGTTCTCTGCATGTGAAGAAGTTCTAAACTCTATAACTACACTATTTCTTTCATATATAAAGCATTGTTTAAAATCAATACATGCATAAACTTAGTAACATTAGAAACAGTAACAAACTCCATCAAGTAAATTATAGTGGAATAATATTTTGGAATGGAATTTATGATTATGAAGCATATTTCTACATTAATACACTGGTCATTTATTTTAAGGATACATTGCTTCATGCAATTTGATACTCTTTCATGATTAGAGTAGGAATATAAATTCATGCAGCCAAATTATTCCAGAAGAATAACTTCACAAAAATAACAGTGGCAACAGAACTGAGGAGCCATCTCACATGGACCAGGTAAATAGCAATTTCCAAAGAGATGAATCTTTTGGAGTCAAATGAGCAGCAATCATGTAAAAATCCATAGCTCTTTTATAATCCTCAAGTGAACTATAGACAAGTCCAAGGGTGTGATACGAATCAGGCAAATTTGGTGCCAGCCTAACAACTTCATGCAACACAGCTATAGCCTGCAAAAAGCCAATAAGGAAAAGCAATGCATAACTAATTCTTGAAAAACCCTAAAGCAATGGTGAAATCTATAATCTATATCAAGCATAAACAGATGCAGAAGGCATGCAGAATCAGAAAAACTAAACACTTGCCTCTTATGCCATCTAGCATAGTTGAGACAATTACAAATAGATATTGGTAGAAATCATTTCAATAGACAGGAATGCAACTTCCAGCCAATGCAGGTTTGCTGGAGGCAACCATGTCTCTAGGACAAGCAAGACATATATTATTAGCCATATCACACAAGTTAGGGTGAATAGATACTCATCAACTTAATGAACTTGGATTTTATTAAATCATATCAGAAAATAGGAAGATTTTGAGCAAAAAACCAGGGTAGATTAGCAGAAGGCCAAAAAGGATCCAAAAATAGTATCTCATACTAACACAGAAGCATCTACTACCCCAGGTTGCATCAGATGATTATACGCTCAAGCCATAAAGTGCCTATACAAAGAGAAATATTAGCATCTATCATATTTCATGGCAGAAGACCATTCTTGGATAAGAAATTGAACAATTTAGTAAAATGAATTATTTATCTAGCATTTTTTTACTCAACAATGTCAACATACTGGAGAACTGTCACAATAATTTTGTAAACTTCAGTGCCAGAAGCTAAGGAATGTCACTTGATAGAACAATGTACCTTGTCATAATGGCCACATGCATAGTGAAGTGTGGCATCACCCAGCATTCGTGTTAGCTTAGGGTCGAGTTTATTCTTTGATCCTTTCCGCCTACCTCTTTTTTTAGGCTGCATCAGGCAGATAAAGAAAATTGAAAAGGTGCCATGCAAGTTATGTTAAAAATGACTAGTTACGTAACTTTTAACTAAAAAAGTGTATTATTTTATGCTGTCATTTACATGCTTTCTAGGATGCATTATATGTATAAGAAAATACAAGACCAAAAGATTACAAAGAAATACGCGTAAAAGTAAACCAGTGAAAACCTATCATCTAAAACAGAATTCATGAAAACAAGGAGTAAGGAATTTTTTTTTTGAAGAAAGCAGCAAAGCTACCCCAAATATAAAAATGCAAATTCCTTATAAACAGCTATGAGCAAAGAAACATAATAGGAATGAACGTAAATCTTAAACTACCTTCCAAATTCCAAAATCATAACACCAAATGTATTTTCTGATGTTTATTTCATTGCCGGAGTCTAAAACTTGTAATCTACCTTTCTTAACAGAATTAAATGTAGGCTATCAACTTCCTTCAGGCTAGTCTTTGCTTATGTAGAGAAATGAAATAAAATATACTTCGCAATCTGACAAAAATTACAAATTTATCTTTTAAAGAAAACTTAGGTACAGACATACTGCTAAATTATATTGTTTTTTCACAAATGTTATCAATTAAATGTATATCATACCTTTCGTGATCTCTTGCGCCCACCATAATTCATTGCTTCCATTATCTCAGCTATGGTTGCCCCAGAAATATCATCTTCCCTTGCCTTCTTAGAAGAGGGTCCTTCACTGCATTTGGAGACATTCAACAACAACAAGTGAGTCAAACAAACGTATAAAAGCAAGTATCCAGCAAGTTAATTGGTCTTCATGGGATGCACATGCACATAAAACTGTTCAACACTTGTAATCAATATTAATCTTCACCATGTATCTTGACTCGTAATCAATATTAATCTTCACCAGCTCATTGAAATCTTATGTCACAATCCTCCAAGGACCCAGGCTTTTCTGTATTGGATATATTTTCACTTCCCATGGTTTTGCTCTAACTACAGTCTCTAACATTTTCCTTTTCTATCAAAATGAAGTTTCACAACTAGCGACCTTATTTATCACAATTTCCTTTCAACATGTGCATAATTGAGGCACTCTTAATAGCATATACACAGTACTCAATCCACCTCAAGAGCACAGATTAAAATATAACTAAACAAGGTTGACTATTTTGAAGCTTCAAATTAAACAGCGTAATTCAATAGAATGAAAACAAAAACACAAAAACAAACGCATTGGCGTTAGGGCTCAACAAACTAACCTGTCGCATTGTTCATTCGCCTTTCGCTTTTTATCGGCGAGGGCTTCGTGTTCAAGGCGTTCGAATTGCCGGTAGCTTTGAACGCCAGAATCATTATTATCGACAAAGTCCAAAGGGCTCATTCCATTCTTGAACCTGAAAGTATACTCTCCTTCCTCCTCTTCTTCTTCTTCTTCTTCTTCTTCTTCTTCTTCCACGTCATCTTCCTCTTCTCCTTCTTCTAATTCTCCAGCTTCTTCTGCTTCTGCTGCTTCTTCCATATTATCCAATGTGTCATTCACTTCATCAATGTTGTTTCCCTCTTTCGCCATCAGCTTCAGACGCTTCTTTCTATAGTTCACTTTCAAGCTTTTCAACTCTTCATGTTTGAGTTCGTTTATTTTTATCTGCCCTGTTTATAGCTTATCTGGTTTTCACGGAACGGTTTATGGAATATTACCCAAACTTGATCCACGGTGGCGGGTGGGTTAAGGGAAAAAAATTTACTCCTTTTTGAGTATTTTGTATTTAAATTATTAAAATAATTCATATTTGTTTGGTCATTTTTTTTAATTTAAAAATTTTAAACTTCTTATAATCGGTGACCAAAAATCTTAAAATTTCAAATAAAAAATACCAAATAAAAAAATTAAAAGTAAATACTACAGGAATCTAAAAATTTTACTTTATCTTGAGTGCATGTCCCACGTTTTAAAATTTTAACAAATGAAGACCAAAATATTTACAAAATTACCTCAAAACACTATATTAAAAAAAAGGGTCATTGAAAGAGTATTTAACAACCTCTTAAGTACCCTTCCAATGACTTTTAAAATAATGAATTTTATAATTTTACCTCAAATTATTTTTTATTATGTTTAACAATATTTTTAATTTTTTTACTAATTATTCTATGAAAATTTTATTTAATTACGATATTCATATAATTTTTTCAATAACAACAGTTTTGATTGAATTAAAAACAAAGACAAATCAAAACACTAAGCAAAAGAGAATTAAAAAGAAATAATTCACATATATGTTATATTTTTTGGTATATAATAAAGATATTTTAGTTAATTATTAGAGACTAATTCATGTTAAGACAAATATATTATTAAAATAAATACAATTTATTTTATGATTAATATACTAAGAAAATCTAACTATCTATTATTTGTGTTAGTCTTCTAGATATACATAATTATTACTAAATTATATAGTTATATATTTTTTATTAAAAAATATGCGCCCAGTATACATGAATAAAAAAAATGATAGAGGGATTGAGATCACCCTTGCTCCCTTAAGAGGAACCTTATGATCGAATCAACATGTGGTATTAATTATTATGTAATAATATCATTTTATGATTATTGTTGATATTTATCCCAAATTTTTTATTACTCTATACTAACAAACTCTTATCAACTGATACGTATATTGTCAATATGTATAACACATGCTATGTTGTTTTTCTTCATTTTGTTATGCAACCCTTCCATTCTTTTTGTGTTGACTCGTTGCAGGATGCATCGATCCTTCTATTCATTCAGTTTATCATGCAATCCTTCAATTCACTATGTAACATTATCCACTCAATCTCTTTAAAATATGGATTAATATGCATATATTCTTAAATCAATAAAATTTAAATGTAAGATAAAATAAAATGAGAATTAGATTTAAAAAAATTTGGTAAATTTTGAATAGTCTTTTTTTTTCTTTTTGCAATTGATATACTCCTACTTTATCTTTTATTTTATATATACCAAAATAACAAACAAGAGAAAATCATGTTATTTTATCCTATTTATTTCTAAGACTATCCTCCATATGATCAAATTTATGTTAAAAAATAAATAAAATAATTATATTAAATAAACTTATCATGTAAAATTAAAAAGAAGAATGATAAATATTATGAAAATTTAAACACAAATTTTGTTATCAATGAATTGTGTTAATTTCGTATGAAATTGAGACAAAACTTTAAGATGTCGACAAATGTTCGTATCTTGTTAAATTCGTCTTAATTTTGGATGAAACCACAAGACGTTGACACATGGCATAATCTTGTTAATTTTGTCTTGATATTGAACAAAATCACATATAAATTTGTTTCAGTTTTGGACGAAACCACAAGATTATGAAATGTGGCATAATCTTATTAATTTCGTCTTCATATTAGACAAAATCATATCTAAATTCGTCTACATCCAAAATGAAATTCATTTGGACCTGCGTTCACTTACATGCTACTGCTCCCGATTAATTGTAGTAAATTTTGGATATTTTATGGGTTTTTTTGTTATTAATTAATTATTAAAATTATAATTTTTTAATTACTAAAATAAATAAAGATAGTTAAAATTTATGAATATTTAGTAAAAATTTTAATTCACTAACTAAAATTATTATTTCATCATAAATACATATGAATATTTAGTATCAATCTAAAAATTTTAATTCACTAACTAAAATTGTTATTTCATCATAAATTAAATTATATATTTAAATTTATTTTTTCTAAACATTTTATTTACATAAGTAAATTTTTAATTTCATCATAATTAATTAATTGTCATTATATTATTTATTTTTATATTATTTATAATCTTAATTATTTACTAGTATAATTTGAATATAAATTAATATATAGTCAATTATAATTATAATACATTTAATTTTTTGCTTTTATAATTTTTTTGTAATTATCTATTAATGTTTTTTAATTATAAATTGAGTTATCATTTTACATTTTTTAATGTTATTTAATATTAAAAAACGAAATTTTCATTTTCAAATTTATATGTATTCTAAATATCATTTATTATATTATTAATCAACCAATCTTATACAATTATTTTTATTTTTCTATTTTAAATATTATTTAACAATTTAATCTAATTTATTTTTATTTATTTTTAAATTTACACCTCAAATTACTATGATAATTTTACATGTAAAATTTTATTTTTTTACAAATTAAGATTATTTTTATATTTCTAAAAAATTACTAAATTAAATTAAAATCAATTTTTAATTTAAAACTACTCTATCAATATTTTTCTAATCAATAAAATTTGAATTATAAAAAATTTAAATTACATAAAATAAAAGTAACCTAGTGTAGATTTTTCTAGCCAAACACAATTTTTCTAGCAACGGATGACCTTGGTGACGGTGGTAGTTTGTGCAATGTGTGGCGTGTCTCCACTACCTCCTACCTTTCTTCTTCCCTGTCTCCGACGGCAAAGCTTAGCAGTTTTTCCAACTTTCTCAGACTTTCAGTCCAAGAACAGTGACAACCGACAATAGAAATGGACAAAATCACAAATTTGTAATGAATTAAGAACAAAACTACCTTGCTCACTCAAAAATCGCTCAAACAAATAACAAAAAATCCTATTTTGTGATGGAGCAAAAATGGTTATGACTTCCAGATCAAACCAAAGGCGGAGGGGAGAAGGAGAAGAGGATTCGCAATGCTCGTGTATGCAAGGCAACAAACTAAATTCAAATTTTTTTGAGATTTTTGTTTAGGGTTTAGGAACACTAATTTTTTTATTTAATACGAGACACATGTCATTATTTTGATAATTTTGTCCCACTCTTAGATGAAATAGTTAAATAAAAAATAAAAATTAATTTCTTCTGATTTTTATACAAAATTAGTGCTAAGTTAGTAAAAATTTACTCCAGACACAAAAATAGTTTGAGTTTTAATTTATTGTGGTAGTTAGTTTTTAAAACATTATTTTAATCTTTTAGACTTCCAACCACAGCCATGATTGATTATGCAATTTTTTTCCCCATTTCTGTTCATCCAAAAAACTTCATGCCTTTAAAGCTCTATTAAAGCAAAAAATACTAAAAATAATATAAGATAAAAATAATAATAATTTCATTAACTGCAATGTATCATCTAATTTCTCACAACGTTAATGCTCAAATATTTTCACAGAACAAAATCTCTCCGATACCATTTGACTCCTTTTCTTTGTGGAAGCTATCATATGTCATCTCAAAAACGATTCATGTGTAGAAATAACCAACAAAAGATTAATAATATGAAATTTGGTTCTTATTTAACTATTTACAGCATGACACTCAAATTCATCATGAGATATTTGCTAGGTCGTTTATGTGAAATGAACCGCTGAAATCGTCAAAATTAAAGGTACATAAATAAGCAAAACAACAAATACGTCGAAAATGGTGACGGCTTAAAATTTTATAATGTAATGATAAATTCAGAGCAATTGCTATTGTGTTGTGTAATAATTTGTGATCTTTTATAGACAAAGAAAACCAATATTCTCCTCGCCATAAAAATAATATGCAGGCACTAAATTAGAAACGTGTTTAACTCATCCAGATTTAATAGTTACTTCAAAGTGCTCCCTTCTGTATGAGTATATCAAGCTAAGGTTAACCACGCTATCATGCTTGTACCACAGGAAGGATATGCCGCAAAACACCATTAACACAATTTCATCGACGCAAATTTTTCTGCAAGATCCATAGCCTCATTTACATGTGATGCATCTGTACCCTGGTAAAAGGTAGTGCAAAAATCAGGAGCCTAGTTAGAGATCTCATTAAAAAAAAAAAGAAACACGTTTTTTTTTTTTTGGGGGGGGGGGGTGCAAAATCCTCAAACCACCAACTCTCATGCTTTATGTGGCATAAAATATTGGAAAATATATAATAATTTGAAATTCGTATACTATCATTTTAATATCATAAAAAATAAAGCTGCTTCTGTGCAAAACCTAGAGTAATTAGTCAAATACTAACCTGTCCTGTTGCAAGACCACCTTTTCCTTTACCACATCTCCCTTTTAGCGGACCCAAAGCATTACTCAGCCACTCTGACACGTCCAGCTTACCTTTATCTCCTTTCTCTGGCACCCCAGCACAAACTACAGCCTTGTTTGTAGATCCATCAGTGCTAAAAACCATCACAGATAAGCCCTGTTTATCAGCCAGCATTGGTGAATGTTAGTCTTTGAAGTTAGCAGAAAATATAATTTCCAAGAACACACAAGATAATCTCATGACGCATATTCATACATATGATGATGACTACTAAGTAATTGAAGCACCAAAAGCATATTTTGCATTACATCAAACATAGAATGAGACCATTTAATACAATACTGAAGGCCCAGGAAGAATATTATCACCAATTACCTTCTGGTCCATGACTTTTGTAACAGCCTCACGAACTGCAGCCACATCCAGACCAACATCAACATGAGATATACAAAAAGTTTTTCCATTTGAAGCAGCAAGTTCAGCCTTCTCAGCTGTGATTGTTACAGCTTTACGTTTGTTTTCTTCAGCAACCTGTTTTTGTGCTTTTCTCACTTGATCCTACCAAAAATACAATATTATTACAATATAGG